GTGGAATCTAGCTGCCGGTAGATGAATGGGGCAGGGGTATGAATGGGGCAGGGAGGGGGGCGGATGCTCCCCTTCACTGTCAGCATTAGTAATATTGGGCATTTTAAGACCGATAACAATACTTTAGCATTTTGGGAATATGGGCCCCCGATTATCAGTAGATCTGATAACCGGTCAACCCCTACTCCAGAAGGCTGCACCCTCTGCGCTCCACATTCCTACAGGTTGCAGCTGGAAAAGACTAATGACCATGACTGGCTAATGCTTCATATCCACTGCTGCAGTCTTTTTGTGGGTGTGGAGAAAGAGTGGAATTGATACCTAAAAGGTCTGAGCAGCTGCAGTGTGACAGCGAGACTCCGCCTGGAACCATTGTTAATCATCAGGGCAGGAATGGGTGGTTGGCGTGGCAGCTGAAATGATTTTGGGAAATACAGGCACATTGTGATTCTGCACGAGGTCTTCTACCTCTAAGTTATACAAACTGCTCATGCAGATCTTGCTTAGAACAAGAAAGAAGAGAGAAGGGCCAGAACATCCAGGTACTTCACATATACATACATTTAAAGAAGAACTCCAGGGAAAAATTGTATTTACCCTTGCAGAGGGGCTACCCCGCACTTCATTTTCGTCTAGGTTAAAAAAAGTTATACTCACCCAATCTGAGTTGTTAAACTGGTCCCTTCAGGATTGCTCCCCCTCCACTGGGGCGGTCTAAGGTCCCTGAGTCATCACGTTCTATATATTGAGTATCGGATGTGAGGACGCTGAGGGACACACTAACACTGCAGTGTAAGAGCTCTTCTCTTACGCAGGAGGGAGCTCTACGAAAGCTGGCCGGCTCCGAGGATCAGGTGAGTATAACTTTTGTTTTTAACCTAGACAAAAATGAACAGTTAACCCTTGCAGTGCAGGGGCAGCCCGAATGCAAAGGTCAATAAAATGTGTGCCTTCAGCCCTGTTTTAAAGTTGATGCTTAGGAACTGTATTGTATCCTTCAAAAATCAATTTTGAATCACCAGTGGCCAGGATGAACTAGAATTTCTGTGCCTTTGCCTAAATAACCAATTAGTGCCTCTGCACAAATATTCTGCTATATCTGCACCTATTTGTTTATCCTCCTAACCCTAACCAAAGATAGCACTAAGACTCCCAACCCCAAAACTAAAGTAATGCTAACCTTTTTTAAGCTTTGATCTTCTTCCACCTGTTAGAGAATTGTTACTTCTGTTTGCTGCTGGGTATGAATCAGTGCAGATGCAGAGGCACTGACTGGCTTTTTAGGCAAAGGCGCATATATTCTAGCTTGAGCAGGCAAATACTGTAAGCAATCAGTGAGGAGATGATAGAAGCTCCTACATATTTAAGAATGTCTGAAGCTCTGGACAATCTTAGTGCTAACCTAGGTAATTCGGTAGTTGGGGGAGGTAAACCGCTATAGTTGTCATTTGATTTAGGTCTGCCTTAAAGCTGAACTATAGGATAGGCAATATTGTCTAAATACAAGCGGCATGTGTATTTTTACTTGAATCTTGATGTGCTTTGTGTATTTCTCCCAGATCTGTGCAGTAATCCAATGTGGCAATTTGTCTCTGTTTCCAGAGCTCTCTGTAATAAAGATTGGTCATTGCTGCACTCTCTCCTTGGGCAGGGTGACTGGTCTTGTATCCGCCCTCCTCCTGTCATTTTCTGCAGGCAGCCTGTAGTGGGTGGCCCTTCTGGGCCCCTTCCACAGCTCTGCTCCCTGCACAGGACATGTACAGCTCAAGTTATTATTGGTGTTTACAAAAGCATTCGGTGCACACAAAATTCGTTTGTATCCTTTGTGGCCAACAAAGAATATATTTAAATAAATGTTTATGTGCCAGAGTTCAGCTTAAAAAACTTTGAAGGAGAAATTGATAATTGAAATTTTTTTTACAGATACAGTAGCATTACAGCAACTTTAAAGCAAAAAAGACCAGTGTAGGCTTCTAGAATAAAAAGCAGCACAAGTAATAAAGCCTGCAGTCATCACTGTAATGGCAGTCATCACTGTAATGGCTAGAGAGAATCTGTGCACTAACATCAAGCTTAGTACACCAAGGGACTGCTCAATAAATCCATTACCCTACTACAATAAAACCACAAATTGCTGCATTTCCATAGCATATAATAATTATATGGCATGTAAAGGCGAGGTTTCTGAAGTAACTGTAAAATTACTTATTTGACACATTGGAATTATTTATTGAGTAAATCAATGGCAGTCATGATATGTGTAGTATATTTAAATTAAAGAGATTGATAACATAGTTGTTATCTTCACATGTAATACCGAGGCTGAGCTAAGAAAATGATTCAGCTATTAGAAGCGAAAGCATCTAAAACAATAACAGCATATTGTTAACAAATCAGGTGGATAAGGCGATTATGTAGATGTGTTCTCCCTCCGTGACAACCATAAATTCCATGGATGGAACAATTTCACAATGATTCATGTGACAGAAAGAATGGGGTAGCTTATTGCTGTGGTTGACAAGAATAACAAGTATACAAATTAACTTGATGAATGTTTATTCTAGAGTTAACTTGACCTATATATTTAGCAGCAATAATTTAATAAAATCAAAGTTGGTTTTTAAAATTCTCAAGATAACCTTGATGTTCCCTGCTAGACTTAATTTGTTTTCACATATAAAGGCCTATTCAGTTAAGCATAAAAAATAGCCGGATCACCTGTTCCAATAAACTTGGATGCACCAAAAACAAGGATGATTTGCATGACAATTGTATGGTACAGTTTGTAAAAGCCCCAACTAGAAATGATGCCCTGCTGGATCTGTTAATCTCAAACAATGCAGAGCTTATTACAAATATTCATATAAAAGAACATCTGGGTAGCAGTGACCATACTATGATTTCATTTCACTTAAGTTGCAAACAACATGCACATACTGGAAAAATAAAAACACTCAACTTCAGGAGAGCAAATTTTCCCATACTGAGAGCGTCTCTTGAAGACTTAGGGGATTATTCACAAAGCTGCCAAAGGCAGCCGAGTGAATAACCCAGCCGAAGTGAAGTGAGCCACACAAGGTTTGGCTATTCAAACAGCTCAGTACGGCTGATTTCAGCCGTACATCGGCTGCACTTCGGTCAGCCAAACATGCTCTGCATGTTCGGCTGAGCTGAAGTGCAGAAGGACTTTCACTCAGCCGATCCAACATCTGGATCTGCTGAGCAGAAGCTCCGGCTGCTCACTCGCTGCCGTTCGCCCCTATTTCACATAGGGGCCGAACGGCAGTAAGAGAATAGCCGAATACCTCTGCAGAGTGAATACCTCTGTAGTACTGAGCAGAATAGAAAATAGTGAAAAAAGTAGAAAAAAAATGTGACGTCACTGCCGGCTCCGTCTAGTTGTTATTGTTAAATAGTCATATAAAAGAACATCTGGGTAGCAGTGACCATAATATGATTTAATAACAACAATAACACCTCCGCCCAGTTGTTATTGTTTAATGACAGATCAGGGTACCCAGGTAGGGATGTCACGATACCGATGCTAGCATCGGAATCGGGCCCGATACAAGGCATTTTGACAAGTACTTGTACTTGTCAAAATGCCCCGATGCCTAGCGCCGAAGCTTGCGCTGTTTTTTGTTTTGTTTTTTTCTTACCACGCCGAGCGTCGCGTCACTGCTGCTCCGGTGGGCGGAGCTCCAAGCGGGGTAATCTGGCAGTCTCCGTCCTAATTTAGGTGGCCGGAGACTGCCAGATGACCCCGCTTGGATCGCCGCCCACCGGAGCAGCAGTGACGC